GGCAATCCCACCCCCTCACGCAGAATGTCCACGGGCGCCTTGCTGGATGGAAAGGGCACCGGGCCCGCTGAGGAGAGCACACCCGCGCATGGTGCTGGGCTGTCACCAGCACGTCGGCCAGGCAGGCTGGGCCCTCCCCCTCCTCGGGGCCACCCAGACGGCCAGGACCTACGCCCAGGAGAGGGCTCCACAGGGATCCACATGGCAGGCCTGCCTCGGGCTGGGGGAGGTTCCTGGAGAACTTCCAGATGCCACAGGCTTTTCTTCCAAACCCAGCGAGTTTCTGATGCGGGCGTCGCCGACGGCGACACTGTGCAGCCAACCCAGATGGCTCCCCTCGAGCCTCGGCCGCCGCACAGACTCGTGAGCGGGACTGCACTCTGGCCCGGCCGGGACTGGTGTCGGCAAACCCAGCCTCTGCTAAGGCTGCGGCTGCCACAGCTTCCTTTCTTCAGGGAGGAGGAGGGGCAGGGGCCCCTGCGACCTCACGCCTGCCATGTCTGCTTGGGCACCTGGCTCCTTGGGGGCTGCCAACCCCAGGGGGTGGGCACAGCGCCCTCCGGCCTGGAGCGCCTGGTGTGAGAGCCGAGACGGTGCCTGGCTGCACGCCGCGCCGACACCTGCGTCTGGATCTGCGCTCACACCCCCTTAACAGCGGGCATGGTTGGCCAGACAGCTCCCAGGGCCGAGGGCTGACTTCTGAAGACTGCAAACCAGCATCGATTGTTAAAGGAAACATCAACAGAACCCCCCAAAGTCATCCAAACGCCTTTTCCCCACATAAAGATGAGGAGAGAAGGGACAGGCACTGCCTGGACGCATCCCCGGGTGTCCTCACGTGGCCAGTCACATCCCTGACGAGAGCAGGGTGACGTCAGGTCTCTCCTTTTACTTCGGGAAGTCGAACTCTCCGCTCACCCAGCAGCAAAGTCGGCTGTTACAGAGCCCGGCTTCAGTCCCACGGGCCCCTCCTCTCGCCGTGTGAGCTCCCGGCTCCAGAACTACGTCCCCAGGGCAGGTGTCCCTGCGCTCCCGCATCCTCCTTCCGTGAACAGCCCCTCACCTGCACCCGGGGCTCCTCGGGAGCAGCCCCCAAGTGCACACGCAGACGTGGAGGGCCCGTATCACGCAAGGCCTGCCCAGGAGAAAGCACGCCTTCACGTGCCGAAGCGACCCTGGCCACCAGGAAAGCATCTCGAGAGACCAGCATCTGGGGAGGAGCCCCCTCCAACCACCCTCCTACCGCGGGAGCCGGGCTCTGCCACCCGGCCTCTGCCCCCCACAGCCAGCGTGGGTCCACTGCCCCTGCCTGAGGTCGGGGTGCCCGGCAGCCTCTCCTGGTCCATGTCCCTGCACACTCCTCACAGGCACCCCGGCGGGGCGGGGCTGCACACATGGTCTGGCCCGTCCACTTGCCCTCAGGCCCTCCTGGGCGTCAGATGCTCCTGGCTGCATGGCCACAGACGGCCCCACCTCCTGTACCCCCGCAACCCGGGGGTCTCTTCCCCGCAGACAGCAGCCACCCAGGTCTGCAGGTGCAGACACGAGGCAAAGGTCAGCCACTCGCCCTTGGAGACAGAGCAGCCGCCTCCCCCAAGGGGTCCTCACCTCCAGGGGCTCTAGGGTCCCCCGCAGGCAGCCCCTATGGGCTAGTTGGGACCACTTGGCGCATCCTCGGTCTAGTGGGTGCAGTGCGGCCATGGGCAGTTCCTAAAGCAGGGGTGGGGTGAGGGCACGGATGCCGCCCGACCTTGGGAGGGACTCCCTGGCCTGATGTCAGTGCCCCCAAATCCAGATGAGCCCCCAGCCTCCGTGTGTGTCCATGTCAGCCTCGCTCATGACTGGGCCAAACAGGGCTGCCAGTACCCAAGGACCAGTGCATAGTGGGCTCCTAAGAGAAAATGACGCTCTCTGGCAGGTCCTGGCATGGCGTCCAGACACCCCACACGGGCTGGGACTCTAGAGGTCACAGCGTCCCCAGAGCGCAGGTCGTGGAAGATCAGGGGCCAGCCTGTGGAGCCGCACTGTGGCCACAGTGCTCACTGCCTGCCTGCTGAATGCCACACAGGCAACATCACTCCTTCCGAGCGGCGGCCAGACGGCATCTAGAAGGCAGGACACGCACACGCACACGCTGTCCCGCCCTGTGCCTCCTGCCAGCGCGTGGTCACTCCCCGCACCACGGCTCTGTGCTGACTGGGGACTGGGTGGCGTCCGGGCCATGTGTGAAGCCACGGGGAGTCCCACCCCCAACTCAAGTCTCAGTTGAAACGAGCCTCCAGAGTTGGCTGGAAGGTCCCCTTTTCAGGCTTACTTAACAGAAATCTGTTCTATTCACAACAAAATCTCAATTGTTACTGGTGACTCCTGTTTTCTGAACTATCCCGCCCCTCAGGGAGTGCTGGAGAAATCAGACGGGGACGTGGGGAGCGAGTGTGTGCGGAGAAGGACGAACTTCCAGGACAGGGACAGCAAACCTCCACAGAGCCTCGCCAGGACCCCCGCTGCTCGGTGCCGACCCCACCAGTAACCCTGACCCCGGCTGCTCCGCTGCCATGAGCCCGCCCCGCGCTCCTCATAAGTTTAGTGCAGCACAAGTGCCAGGTCAGGCACGCCACTTCCTAGACCCTGGGCCACTCCTGCCACCATCCTCATCACCCCCACACCCGGCACAGTGCTGACCCTCTGGGGGTACCTGGCAATGGAGTGATACGGCGCAGCTCAGGATCGACAAGGACTCCTCCAGGTGGTGAGGCAGGCAGTCCACCCACCCAGAAAACACCAACACGGATCAGAGATTGCTTCAGACGTGCGCCAAGCCGGCACCGGGAGCCAGCACCAACAACCATGGGCAAAATCAGCCTCATCTCCTCTATTCCTAGGGGCGCGGGCGAGGGCAGGCGAGAGTCATTTACCTGCTGGACACTCACGTGATCTCCGCCAGGTCACCTGCCACAGTTCTTGTGCCAACGCGACCCACCAGGGTTGACCTGCAGGGAAGCACCTTCAGGAGAGGAGGATGTGTCCCCTCTTGGGCCCCAGGCAGACGGCACTGGGTGCTGGCCTTCCCCAAGCATCACCTGGGGAGGCAGGGACAGTGGACGGGGCTCTGGACACCACACGAAGAGCAGGGCCAGAAGAGGGAGGGAGGGAAGACTCGACAGCCCAGTGTCCTCTGACTGAGCACCAGGGCAGAACCAGGGGTGGCGGGCAAGGGAGGGGACAGGGACACAGCAGCGAGGTGCCTGTGTGTGCTGGGGTGAGGGGCACCTGGGCCAGGAGTTCTAAACCACAGCCCCGTGCCCATATGAGGGAAAGATGGGAAAAGGTGGAAAAAGAAAAAATGTATTTTACTTAAAGGACCATCTATTGTTCTGAGATTTGGCCTTCCTACATCATGGTGTTAGAAGAACCTGTCACCAGCCGGGGCTGTCTCACTTCGCCGGCGGCCCAAACAACCCAGACTGACTCACGCCTGGTAAGCCCCTTTCTGACCCAGAGGCTGCCTTCTGGCTATGACCTCTCGTGGCGACAGGACAAGGGAGCCCTTTGGGGTCTTCATTGGGCACGCAGCCCAACATGAGGGCTCTTCCCTCAGGTCCCAACACCTCCTGGAAGGACCCCCCGACACCATGACACTGGGGGTTTCCAACATGAATTTTGGGGGAAAACACACATTCAGACCACAGCAGAGAACAGAATAATAAGGGAAAAACCCAAGCCACACGCCTCACCACTCCCGAAAAAGCCCCAAGCGGGCGGTCCCCGTGGGCCTAGAAGAACAGCACAGCCCCGTCCCTGCCACCTCGCAGTTTCCAAGGGCGTGCTCTCCGTGAGCCCGCCGCCCTAGGGAAGCCCTGCCTTGGTGCGGGGGCCGCCCCGCTGCACCGCGGCCAGACTCCCGTTCACAAGCACGCTGCCCGCGATTCCAGGGCCTGAATGGACAGTGCAGGCCATGGTGCTCACGCCTCCCAAGAAGGCCGCAGGCCCACGGCTGGCAGAACAGGGCCAGCCTACGCCGCTGACCACTGAATTCCTCGTAGCAGGAGGACCGAGCTGTAGGAGACACGCGCTGTTACCAACACCCACCTCCCAGGCAGACTGCATCAGTCAGAGGTCCCGCCCGATCCCAGGGGATGAGGAGCGCAAGTCTGTCCAACCTCACTAGATGGACCCAGCAAGCACTTTAAAACGCAGTTCCTACCTTCACACATGTGGGATTAAAACTCCACTCCCAGAAAGCAAGAACCAACTCTAGTATGTGGTTTCAGGGCATATCTGGGCCCCTTCTCAGGATGCCACACCCGTGTTTACAGATACACTCAAAACTTATCATTTATCAGCTGGCCAGTAGAGTGTCCTTCTGTAAAGGGAGTGGACACGCCTGTGAGCTGGTGCTTTGTGGACTCCAGGGGTGGGTGGGGAGCAAGCAGTGGGCGAGGAGGGTCTCAGCCGTCTGCGTGGCCACCTACTTGAGCCCCATCTGACGTCCCCTTTTCTCCTCGTGGCCAGTGTGTGCAGTCTAGTTTCCCCAGGGCCCCTCTGGCACCCCAGGCCGGGGCATTCTCTGCTTCTGGACAGACCACTTGAGTGGGACCCCTGTGGCCCCTGCCGGCCCTGCTGTTTGGGTGGCCTCGGCTGTTCGTTTGGAGCCTGGCTTTCCCAGGAGCCTCCCTGCAGGCCAGCGGTCACCCACACGGCACATGAGCAGCAGGGTGGCCTTTAACTCTGCCTGACGTTGCTGTGCAGGACATCCATCCTAAAGGAAAGCAGGACTCAGCCCTGCTGTCCATTGCGCCAGAGGGGGATACTGAGGCCTGTGCCACTGGACCCCCGCCCGGGACCTGAAGGTGGGAAGGGACCGGCTCTCTTGGCCCAGCAGGAGTCACTCCCTCTCGGCCATCTGGGCCTTTGCCTTCTCAACCCAGGGTCCCAGCCAGGGGGGCAACTGTGGTACTCACATCCACTGGCCTCAGTGGGGCCAGGCCCACCACGCCTACCTGCTTGTCCCTCGCACTGTGCTCTGCGCAGCCGCCGCGCTGCTCCACCTCCTCCATGCCTCTGCGGCCACTCCTGTACGCAGACACCACAAAGCTGTCTCCTGCGGCCCCGTGGGCGGACGCGCGGGAAACAGGGC